ATATTTGCACTCCACTCTCGTATGAAGACCAACATAATTATATTGTTAATAGAGGGGCATTTTGTCTTTTTATACATGGTTGGGGTGCAAATACAAAGAAATTTAAGTGACGTGTGTAATCCAATTTTGAAAATAAAATGGGGTGCAAACTTAAATTGTCCCCAACATTTAAGAGTATTTCTATTCACACTCACTCATTTAGGTTTTTTTTGCCACCGAACGGAATTATATTAATAAATCATTCGCCAACTGGCTATAAATACAATCAGGAACATAATTATAAACGGTACTATGATCTGAGATGACTACTTGGGCCCTTGCCAAAGCATGAGCCGCAGTATTCGCAGATCGCCGACAAAAAGAGATTCCACAATTACTCTTTGTTAACAAAAGCCTTCTAATATCATCCAGAATCATATCAACATAAGCTGAGCCACTTACACCTCGTCGAACACCCTCAACCACTCTAAGGGAATCGGTTTCAAATTCAACATGCTCCCACCCTGCCTCAATAGCTCCAACTATGGCATCTCTAACACCCCATAGCTTCTGTCTCTTCGACTGACCAATCCACCTGCTTTGATACTCCCTTAGCCCCTAAAAATTTGCCATTTGCATCTCTTACCACCCACCCCCAAGCTCGAACCCCTCCTGATTGATTCACCGCCCCATGTACATTTACTTTTAATGTACCTGGCTTTGGACGTCTCCATTTCTCCCCTCTGCTATTTTTTTGTTGCGTCTTAACCCGCCCGGACTTGCTGGCATGCGTAGTTCGCCATGCAGTTATCATACTGGTTGCCATTCTCACAACTTCAGCTGCCTCCGTCTGCCTCCCCTTCCAAACCACACCATTATGCCTTTTCCAAATGCTCCATACTAACGCCAGAAAAAACCCCGCTTGCTCCCTATTCTGCCCAGTCACATGACCTCGTATCCAGCCTTCAAACTCAACTAGTGGATCCCCCACAACAACTCCCGCCAGCTGCCACACTTTAACAGCCTTCGGACAGTGCAGCAAAACGTGACCTGCATCCTCTTCTTCAGCTCCACAAAGCTGACATCCCTCCGGAATGGTAACCCCCCGCCTTCGTAAATTAGTCACCATAGGCAAGGACCCATCTAAAACCTGCCAGACCAAGTATTTAAACTTGGGAGGAGCTTGAATATCCCAAAGTTTGCCCCACCCATTCCAATCACTTATCTGTTCTCCTCTCAGAATTCTGTACCTACTTTTAACGGAATAGTTTCCACACTGTTCCCCTATCCACCAGTAGCTATCCTTCCTATCTGTCAAACTGATAGGAATACTCAGGATATGGTCACGGTCTTCTTGAACAAACCAACTATTTATCCTTTCAATGCTCCAATTCCGTCCTGTGCTATTCCGAAGTGCAGCTACATTCATGTCGCGTATTCCATTTGGCTTATCCGAAACCACTTTCCCATTGTTTCCAGGCAGCCAAGAATCGGCCCAGACTTGCGTACCAATCTCATTCCCTACTCTTCTTCTGACATTACCTTTCAGCACGTCCTGGGTTTCAAAGATGCTCCTCCAAATAAAAGATGGATTATTGCCCAATTTCGCATGTAAGAAATCAGAAGAAGGAAAATACCTCGCCTTTAAGACCCGATGCATGAGACTACCTTCCTCTATAACCAATCTCCATCCCTGTTTTGCCAACATTGCCAAATTAAATTCCCGAATTCTCTTGAACCCCAAACCTCCTGCTTCCTTCGGCCTACGTAAAATCTCCCATCTTCTCCATCTCATCCCTTTCTGATCAAACTTGGATCCCTTCCGCCAAAACCCATTCATTAATTTTTCAATCTCTTCACACAAATCCTTGGGCAATAGAAAAACATTCATAGCATAAGTTGGAAGAGATTGAACCACATTACGGAGTAAAACCGCCCTCCCCGCCCGAGATAGAAACCGATTGTTCCAGGATTTAATTCTACTAATAATACGTTCATTTAGATAACCCAGAATGGCTGATTTATTCCCCCCCCCCCCCCAGAAGGCTGGTAACCCCAAATACATACCTCCTCCTTCCCGCGGAACTCCGAGCTGTTGGCTGCAAAACTCTCTAAATGGTTCACCAACATTCTGGCTAAAAGTTAGTGAGGATTTATTAAAATTAACCACCTGCCCTAACATAGATGCATATCTCTGTAAAATGCGCTGTACAGTCTCACATTCAGCACTTGAAGCCTTGAAAAATAAAAAAAACTATCATCGGCAAAAAGCAAAAAACAAGTGTGAAACCCGCGGTGCCCCCCTGCACACCGCCACCCCATGCAGCTCCCCTTTCTGTTCCGCCCGTCTAAAGAGGGCACTTAGTCCTTCTGCAATCAGGATGAATAAATAAGGGGATAAAGGGTCCCCTTTCCTTAATCCTCTGTTTGGTTCAATCGGTCCCAAATGATTATTATCAAACTGAATGTAATAGTTCAACGTAGTCACGCACTGCATAATTAGATTGATCCACCTCCCATTAAACCCCATCCATTGCATAATTTCCTGAAGAAAATTCCAATTCACCCTATCATAAGCCTTACTCATATCCAGCTTAAGAGCAACATACCCCTCCTTCCCCGAATTCTTCCTCTTCAGATAGTGCTGGGTAAGAATGATTTAGAACCACACAAATTTTACCAAATAAGGTATGGGACAATCTTAGTGGGACGGACCGAAAAGGTAAAATGGGACAATCATAGCGGAACGGAAGGAGTAGTTTATAAAGATAATTTAGAAATTTAAATTATTTTATTTATTACTCTGTAATACTCCGTATTTAATTTAGTGGCCTGAATAGTAATTTAGGGATCGTGAATAGAATTATCCTAATAATACTATTTACTGGACATAGGTGGACTGATGTCCAAGCCTAGCTAATAGTCGTAAGAGCAGGGTCCAAGGCTCCAAGTCTAGTAATGCCAAAACACGTAAGTAATTAGCCATAGCAAGAGAATAAAAATATAACCCACTACAAAGCAGTTTCACCTAAGAAGCTCTAATTCACTCGACAAAAAAGGTCATAGCAAGAGAATAAAAATATAATAATTGCATTTTGAATTAATAAATACTTTAATTATATTTAGAACGGTTCTTTTTAATAGTTTGATGAGAAAGATAATTGAATAAGATCGGAAAAATAAAAAAGAGGTTTTGACCTGAATCTTACTAATAAGTGATGTTGATGTTTTAATTCTCGAGATCCAAAGGCCCAACAGAGTTCGTCCCTTGGGCTTTCAAATGATTCCTTTTAATGAGTTTGTTTAATTAGTATTTAGGCAAGTATGACGCAAGAATAATAGCAAGTAAATAAGAGACAAAGTGGATCCAGTTCTATTATGTCCTCAGAACGATTACAACACTTATGTCGAGTCCCAGCTCTGACTCCCTGAATCAAGCTGAAGTTTACAGGAGAACTAGAGAGAAGTCTATTGCCGAGTATACAAGTTTGTCAATTTTTTACAATGGAATTAATGCTATTATTTATACTACAAAGTAGTAGGTGGTGGGGGTGATGTGCTCAACCCTGAATTGCTAACCCCCAACCATAAACCCTCCATATCCGGTGCATTAAAGCGTTTTCCGCCAATTCCAGCTTTCCCGTCAATTGCTCGGATGAGTACTTCCTTGGATAGTTGATGGATCTAATAAAGAAGTCTAAGTGAGGGGATCGGCCCGAGCGACGCATCCCATATGGGCAAGCCGCGTGGCTTTCAAGACTGTTTGGGCTACGAATGGGCTCGTTATGCGGATCAGGCCCCTGGGATATTCAGGATCGGGCCCAATACCCCAACAAGTGGATAATGAACAAAAAATGACCTTTTATTTAATTTTTCAAAAATGTGATTGAAAGGATGAACATGATAATTAAACCCTACTACAATGACAATGCTATAGTGACGATACTACCGTGATAATTCTACATGAACAACGCCACCCAGTTTTACAGTGACAATATCACAGTGACTCCATTCCACGGTGTCTACCGAACACAGTGACTAGCCCGTCCACCGACTACAATGACTAGCGCATCCACCATCCACAGTAACAACCGCTCATCCACCAGCACAGTGACCATCATGCAGTGACAAACGCTGCGCGCGTTTAGTGACTACCACATGCCCATTCTAGTAACCACGATCGCTCTGCCTAGTACTGCCGCCCCACTCCATTCAGTGGCCACCCCCTGAACACTTCCCAGCACGGCAGCACCCCCACCAATCCTCCCACCCCCTCACTAGCCCCAACTCCGACCCAATTGAGCTCGTATCTGTCTGCTCGAGCCTGCACTTGCGATGGTGTCGCTGCCCCCAACTCTGTCGCTACTTCACAAACCCCAATGACATTGTCATAATCCCTCCCTACATTTTGCTCCTTCACTCAGGCAAACCCTTGTTTTTGCGCCACCACGTACTGATCCCAAAACCTAGCAATTGACACCCATATATGATAATCACCAAGTTTCCATCGATGACGGTGACAGCCGATTAACTCCCATTCACCTCCCTATCGTACAGACAGAAAGAGAGGAAATAGAAATCCGACGTGGGGTAGGCTAATAGCTATGGTGGTCGGAGATGGCGACGAGGTCGGCAGCGTAGATTAGTGCTACGACGACGAGGTCGGCGATCCAGTGTGAAGAGAGCAAAAACATGAAATGTGAGATTTGCTATAGTTACTTTGGAGATATTTGAGTTATTTTTATTTTAAAGTGATCACTCTTTCATTTTTTTGTCTATATATAATTGTTATATTTTGTCCATCTAAATTCTATAAGTAATATTGTTGTTATTATTCTTTTATAAAAAAATAAAAAAATCGAACAAGACCAGATAAATCGGTGAAGCAGCTACAACTTCTAATACAAAATGACTGGAACCAGTAAACCGTGCGTTTGTACCTATAGTTTGTCGATCTTACCATATAATTTGCCTTAATTTCCTTTGTTGTGAAAATTTCCCAAATAATACGGAGTATTCAGTTTGGCCTTTCACTTATTTGTCAAGCTGCCACCTGGCTCCTTCCAAGCTCCCAGTTTGGTATATATATACACTATCCTCGGTTCTTCCATCAAGCTTCCACAAACTCCAAAGGTTGATACTTCCTCTGTCCGGATCCCAGTTTTTCTTCCTTGTCTGAAATGGCTACCGCTACTCTTAGTCACGCCGATGCTGAGAAGCTTTCGAATCTAAAGTCCTCCGTCGCCAGCCTCAACCAGATCAGGCACGAATCATATCACCCAGGAAAATCTAATATTCTGAATGCGTAACTTGGATCCGTATGCTGATCCGTGTAGTGGTATTATGATTTTTTATGTCTTCTTTGAAACTTTATTTTGCAGTGAAAATGAGAAATCTGGATTTATTAACCTCGTTTCCCGCTATTTAAGGTACACTGGAATAATTATTACCGATTAATGTACATTACTCGTTGCTAGTCCATTTAAGAAGCGACATGCCTTATTTTACTAGTCCAACTGTGATCTAATTATTTCACTCCATTTAATTGAGATATGATTGTGCTAAGCTGAAGCATGAAATGCTTTTAAATGTGTTTTTAGATTACAATATTCGTGAACTCCTGCATTGGAATTTTTTTAGTAAATATATTTCGTATATAACATACATCTATTTACTCCTTAACATAAACTTGCATGTATTATTGATGTTTTGATTTTATCACAGCGGTGAGGCCCAATTTATTGAGTGGAGCAAGATCCGAGCTCCAACTGATGAGGTGGTGGTTCCATATGACAATTTAGCACCTCTCTCTGAAGGTACTACTCTTCTATCTTTTCTTTCTGTATATCTTAAGCTGCTTCATTGGAACAATTCATCTTTCAGTTTGTTGAAATTAATGGTTTGCCAGCAAAATCAACATTCCAGAACCAAAGTGTGATATATAAGCATAAAATGTCTGATCTACTGCAGATCCAACAGAAATCAAGAAGCTATTAGACAAGCTTGTTGTTCTTAAGCTTAATGGAGGATTGGGAACAACAATGGGATGCACTGGTCCAAAGTATGTATGCATCCTACTACTCTTTATATTGAATATAAAAAGGGTTATGTATACATAAGGCGACATGAGGTACAATTGCAAAAAGCATTCAGCGTTTCCACAAGAAATCAAACTCTTGCGTCTTGACGCCATGCAAACATGAGGGTGTCACCACTACACCACACAATCACTTGCTAGATTCATATCTAAAGCATTTTATCTAAAGACATTCTTTTGTTATAGGTCAGTTATTGAAGTCCGTAATGGCTTGACATTCCTGGACTTAATTGTCCAGCAAATTGAGGTATTTTTTGTCTTCTTATTACTTACCCAATCACTATTAATGTGCTTCTACAGTTTTTCATTCTTCAGCTTTTGCATGCTTATGTCACTTCCTCTTCCTTGTAGAGCCTCAATGTCAAGTATGGATGCAAGGTGCCCCTGCTTCTGATGAATTCATTCAATACTCATGATGATACACAGAAGGTCGTTTAACTTTCATACAAAGTGTCAAAAAAAATTGATTCGCTTGTTCACATCGCCATGTTCACATTAGAAGTTTAGATGCCTATGCATAATCTTTTTCATGTGAACCACAGATTATTGAAAAATATGCAAATTCCAACATAGAGATTCACACTTTCAACCAGGTAGCTCAATGTGTTTTCACCTCAAACATCATTGTTGATTCTCTTTATTCATGGCCCCTAATTTATTTAGTTTTATTTTGCTTTTGATTCTTACAGAGCCAGTATCCTCGCCTTGTTGTTGAAGACTTTGCACCACTTCCATGCAAAGGCAATACTGGAAAGGATGGATGGTATAATACATATTATCACTTAGTTGATTCTTATTTCTGTAGATTGAAAAGTTGCAGTATAGTACTTATCACTGTGTTGGTTTTTATTGTTTCTTAGTTTCAACTTTTTCACACGAAGCCTTAATTTTGGATTAGGCATGCTGTATCATCCTTAGTTGTCTTTGATTCTTTCATTTCTTATTACTAGTGTGTCGGATCATGAATTATGTCATTTGAATGTATAGGTACCCACCAGGCCATGGAGATGTTTTCCCAGCTTTAATGAACAGTGGAAAACTTGATCTTCTATTGTCACAGGTTTTTGTATTCGAGACATATGGGAGGAGAGTGCATTTTATGAAAAATTTTGTTTGTAGGCTGTTATGATGTGTGGTTATCAATTTAAACTGATTGTAGGGCAAGGAGTATGTCTTTGTTGCCAATTCAGATAACTTGGGCGCCGTTGTTGATCTAAGTATCCTCTGTCAATTTACAGTTACCACAAACACATTACTTACTACCAAGGAGCTTTATCAAGCTCAATTTCATTACTGCAATCACTTCCTTAATGCATTCTTGCAGAAATTCTAAACCATTTGATCCAAAACAAGAATCAGTATTGCATGGAGGTATTGGTCTAGAAGTTTTTTAAAATATTTTTGAATACCTGTTAGTCCCAAAATGATCACTTCCGTCATCATCATCATTACCCCAGTGCCGCAAAGGCTCCCACCTACGGTGGGGTAAGGGGAGGTCGGATGTACGCAGTCTTACCTCTGTACTAAAGCACAGAGAGACTGTTTCCGGATGACCCATGGTGAAAATCGCGTCGGAAATTGTATGACCTGATTGCTGCTTCATAACAAAGAAACGCAGACAGTTTAGTGAGCCATTTTGCTTTATTCCATCATATTCAACAACCAAAATGATCACTTCCGTATATAACATAAATGAATAAATTTTTTAAATTCCTATTGTCAAACCTGCATTGGATATTGTGAAGACACTGCACTCTTGCAGGTGACACCAAAAACATTGGCTGACGTCAAAGGTGGCACCCTAATTTCTTATGAAGGAAAAGTGCAGGTATATCTTGTTCATCTCTTGTTACTTCAACCCAAGTGTGCTAATTTAATCTCACATGATGCTGATATGCACTTCCAGTCTTGTCAGCTTTTTGGCTTTTAGTTTAGCCATAAAGTTTATGCCTCAACCTTGAATCCTATTCATGTATTTTTCTCTAGATCTCTAGGTTGTTGCCATTAAACTACTTCTGTCCTACAAAAGAGTCTCGTTTGACCAATTTATAACTTTTTAATTTTGGCCAAGTACAATTGTTATAAATTATGAATCAAACTTAGATTATTTTTAATATTATCTGTTAGATTAACTAGATTTATCATATGCAACTTATTTGTGACTTATTTTATACGGAGTAACATTTTGGCAAATTACATAAAAGCGTGCTTGCTTGGATCAAAGTGGACTCTTTTTATGGGACAAGAAGTGTTCGAAAAATGACTAATATTTTGGGGCGAATGGAGTAGTTCACTAATCTAGTTGAACTGATTCTTAAGTAGTTAAGTTATTCCAATTCCAATTTTGGTGGTACTTATGTACTTATTTTTACTCAAATACTTATTTGAAACATGACTTCTTTCATGTGGACGTCTATTAGTTTATTTGATTTTTGTCGTTAAGTAGATACCAATAGTAATTATAATGATGCTTCGTTTGTTTGTGCGGTGCAGCTTCTGGAAATAGCTCAGGTCCCTGATCAACATGTGAGTTTTTCTTACTTTGCCTCTAACATTTACCACTTCTATTTAGTTTAAATTAAAGTGTGAACCTTTGCTGATAATATTCCTCTAATAATTTTCTATTATCAAATTACACTGGATAAATAGTTCTTATAATAAAAAGACTATACTATCTGTCATGCCCTCATGCTCAAACGAATCAAATCCCATCTAATCTACTTCTTACTATGGAGTCAAGAAAAGAATATTCCAAATAAGTGCATGCCTATGGTACACTTGAACCATATGCTGCCAATTTTTTTGATTTTCTTGATACCTGTTGGCTGTTGCAGGTTAATGAATTCAAGTCTATAGAAAAGTTCAAAATCTTCAACACTAACAACTTGTAAGAGGATCGAGAACCCTTTTAAACCTATTTTTCTTGACTCTTTCACGCTCTTGCAGTGGAGATGTTTAAATTTGTCAAACTTTTTACAGGTGGGTGAATCTGAATGCAATTAAAAGACTCGTTGAAGCGGATGCACTACAGATGGAGATCATTCCCAACCCTAAGGTAGTGATTGTGTTACTAAACATGAAGATACTCCCTGTGTTTCAAAATAACTCTCACATTGGAAGAAAATTTTGTTTGAGATTATTTGTCACTTTTTCGTTTTTTCCTGAGAATTAAACATTTGTTTCCAGCTTTACCCATCCCTTACCTTTGTGATAGATCTCATTTACTGTTATTAGTTATTACATTGAATGAGTAATGTGGTCATTTTGTACATGTTATCATACATATGAGTTTCTTAATCAAACTGCCTTAAATGACATTATGAAGCGAAATGGTTGTCAATAATTCAGTATTTTAATATAGATTTTGACATAGTTTTTAAAATCTTTAGGAAGTTGATGGGGTTAAAGTTCTTCAACTTGAAACTGCTGCTGGTGCTGCAATTAAGGTGAAGAGAACATTTCTTAGTGCTATTATTGCTCAATATGTTCCTCGTATTTGAATTCTTTCATAAACATTCTTCATCTCGAAATCTCCACACTACTATTTGTCCCTTTTTCGTTCCATGGAAAAAAGCAGAATTTGAATTTGACTAAGCCTTTTAAACCAGTTCTTTGATCGTGCTATCGGTGTGAACGTCCCACGGTCCCGCTTCCTTCCAGTAAAAGCAACCTCTGATTTACTCCTCGTCCAGGTTAGTTTCATTTTGTAACAAAATATTTAATATTGCTACATTGTGAGCTAACAGAAGCGGCCAATGCTTACCAACTCGTTTGTGATGATTTATAGTCCGATCTTTACACCTTGACCAATGATGGCTATGTTATTCGAAATCCTGCCCGTGTTAATCCTTGCAACCCTTCTATTGAATTAGGACCCGAGTTCAAGAAGGTTAGTATTTAACCAAAGAGTGTAATTGTATATATTTCCGTAGCTTGTTCAACATATGATTTTATTTTCATTTTGAACTGCATTCCAGGTTGGTAACTTTTTGGCTCGTTTTAAGGCCATTCCGAGTATTGTAGAACTGGATAGCTTAAAGGTGGCAGGGGATGTATGGTTTGGAGCTGACATTACCTTGAAGGTATGAAATAATTCGCTGACGATCTGGCATTCTTTTGGAACCATAGTTGTTACAGCCTTGCCTTGTCGTCATGGCGCTCAATCCTGCTCGCCATGGAGTCTCCACTCGCCGTATGACTTCTGGCGTCGCAGCGTTGCCACACAATGCCGCGGATCCTAACCCAATAATCTTAGTTAAAAAAGCGCGCCTCACCAAAGGCTTGAGGCGTGAGCAGGCTATGAGCAGTGGAGGAGTTAGGGAGGGGCATGAGGGGGCAAGCGCCCCCGCTACGGTAAAAAAAATTACTACTACTTATAATATAATTATTGGCCCCTTCTTTTATTCAAATATAAATACTCCCTCCGTCCCAGAATTAACTTCGGTTTTGACTGGGCACGGAGATTAAGAAAGTGGGAAATGTGAGGTGGAGAGTTGTGCAGAGGAGAGAGAAATGTGTAAGAATGGTTGTGAACCACAAATCCTTTGCTAAAAAGGGAAAGAGGAGATAAATTTGGGACGGACCAAAAAGGAAAGAATGAAGATAATTATGGGACGGAGGGAGTACCAATTAAGAATAATTTTAGATTAAGTGTTAAAATAAAAGACAAAGTCTTTCAAGAATAATAATAATGATGTGGAGTTCTCTGGACAAGTGTGGAACTCACAAAATCTTGTGAAAGTGTGTGGAAGCCTCTAACATTTTGAAGAATTGTGGTGTAGTTCTCTAAACCCGATCCTTCCAGAAAATTAGAGAAACTTGTGGATACTTTCTGGAAGAATCTAGATGTGTAATGGTGTATAAAAAAATTCTAGAGAAGCTTTGATGAGATTAGTACGTAGAAGCTTCCTATTTCTATGAGAATCTTGAGGAGAGCTCTTGAGTGAGTGTAGAAAACTGAGTGAGAATATCTTGAGAGCAGAGAGTGGGAGCCTTCTTGTGAGAGAATAACCCTCAAAGATATCATTTGATGAAGTGTATGTGATCGATCGAGTTAGGTAGAGTGGCGTGGTCTCAGATACAAAGTGAGTAAGGGTAATACAAAGTGTTATTATCATATTGAGTTTTTGTATTATGAGTCTAGCATTATGTAATGAACTAATTTGTGCTAACGTATTACCCATTTATTGTTTGTATTATATTCTGAGAAAATACACAATAATTCTAAGACAAATCTCTGGCTCTGCCACTGGCTATGAGGAACATCGCAGAACCCCAGCCACGGTAGAAACCTACAGGCCCGCTACATGAGCCACTTTTTATTGCTTTTTGCGATAAGTTTGTCGATTACTTTTGGCACTTCATATCCTAGTTCCAGAAATTTCGTACGTTCTATATATTGATATGTTATTATGTTTTTCTCTTATCATCCTTCTCTTTTCGTCTTAAATTTTTAAATTAATCAGATAGTTTAAAATATTTCAATTTATCAATTAGTTTAAAATTTATAAATGGGGTTACTAAATTAAGGCTGATTTACAAAAAAGTGACCATATTTACATTTAGACAAAAATGGTACTAATGCACAGTTACATTTCCGTAGTGACATTTCCAAAGTTAATCTCCGCAGTGACATCTCCGCCATCCCCGACCACAGTGACACCTCCTATGTCATGACATGTGTCACTGACGTCACTGTCGCTATAGGTCGCCACATCGTTGCCGCCGCCGCCACAGGTGACAACTCGGCAGTGATAACTTTGTAGTGAGCCCCAACCTCTACCACACACCACACCACAGTGACATCTTTGCCATCCTACCGCCGCCGCCTCCAGCCACCGCCCTCCGATAAGTTTCCACGCCACACCACATTCTACCACCACATTCCACCACCACTGCCACGCCATTGCCGCATTCCACCACTACACCGCCGCACCACATGACCCCAGAGCCGCCGAAAGAACCACCTCCCTGCCTCACCCGAGCCCCAGCAGCCCCAACACCACCAGATTTGAAATAGGGAGGCGGATTGAGACCGATGAAGCTAGGGAACAAGAAGAAGGAGAAGGTATCGTGCAGAGAAGAAGAAGATGTCGACTCACCCTAGCCCAAAATAGGGCGGCGACGGCGGCGGAATTGCCACGGCCACGACCTTGACAATCGTTGGAGGCGAGGCGTAGGAAGAAGACATGGGCGAGGGCAGCGGCGGCGGTCTCCGTCACCCTGTCCGCGGAGGTGACGGCGGCGTCTTTGGGGGTGGTGTCCTGTGCTCCTGCGACGGCATGGCGGAGGTGTCTCTGCTTCCTACGATGGCCTGGGGAGCTCTTTGGTTGATGGTTAGTTGACTTGGATTGATAGATAACATGGGCTGGAACAAATGAAATATGATGGGCTGAGTAAGTCTATTTTTGAAAAAAAAAGAAAAAGTAGTCTCTTTTTTGTATTTCACAAAGCTATTAGTACTATTTGCGTCCTTATTCCTTTATAAATTAATCAGAACGTTTACTATTAAACTGAGGTTATATATCAGATAAGAAGATTGTTACCTTTTTTTTTTTTTTACTTCTAACAGTTTAGCGAAAAATTAGTATCAAGACTATTAACAACTTACAGTATTACTCCTTCCGTCCCTCAATTAAGTTCCCACTTTCTTTTTTGGGCAGTCCCTAAATTAAGTTCACACTTCAACATTTTCCTTATTTGACAAATTATCCACATCAAAACAGTGACAAACAGTGTTCAAACAGTGTCAAACAGTGTTCAAACACTGTCAAACAGTGTTTAAACACAAACAGTGCACTCCACAGTAAAGTCAAGTTTATTTTCTTAATATGTGTGAAGTCAAACCAGAAACTTAATTGGGGGACGGAGGGAGTATATAGTACTACCTCCGTCCCTCTATGTTTGGGACAGGAGAAGGTGACACGGTTATTAATAAAAGTGAGTTTATCTGGTTGATATTGAATTGATAAAGTAAGAATAAAGTAGAAATGATTTAGAACCACGCAAACTTTACCAAATAAGGTATGTGACAATCTTAGTGGGACGGATCGAAATGGTAAAATGAGACAATCATAGCGGGACGGAGGGAGTACGTAGTAATAGTTACTATTTATATACGAGTATATGACAGTTCGTTACTATTAGCCACATAATTATTAGCAAATAAATTATTTCTCTCCTTATTTGAATGATTTTATATAATTTTAGTAAGTTTTTTCCTGCAATGTCAACAATAATGTCAACATTAGACGGTCTCCTTGACATTGGTGACATTGTGGAGAATAACTTACCAACACTGTATAAAATCATTCAAATAAGGAGAGAAATAATTTATGGGTTTTTTATAAGAATATTACTATAATAAAACTTATTTACATAAATATTACTATTCATTACTACAACGTAGTGTTATAGTAACTTAAGTTCAAAACTTGAACATGAATTACTATGATTTCATTACTACTCTAGTAACTAATCATATTTTTGTAAATCATCTTTACTTTGGTCATATTTATGTAATTATTTCATAATTTATTTACTAATATTTATGTGGTCATCTCTCATGCCACGTATGCACCGTGCACATTGTACCATTGAAGATGCTCTTAACAGATTAATATATAACAATTTATTTAAAACGTATCTTGCATTTAATACGGTACTTATGTTGGCAATTGGCGTATTGCCGATTTGCCGCGATGTCACCACAGCACGCGCCATATCGCCAAGCGCTATGGTGGTCTGGTGATACCACATCGTGAAACCGCGCCACAACTTTTGATTTTCTTCCCTTGCACTTTGTTTTGACGAAGATAGAAGTAGGAAAGAAAGCATTTGGGAAGGTGAGAAGAGAAAATGAGTAATATTTTTAGGGTGTTGAGATTTGAAGAAATAAGGACGAAGTGTATATGAGAAATAAAAAATACTCCCTCCTTTCGCAATCAAAGTCACACTTTCCTTTTTTGGATGTTTCAAAAACAAAGTCATACTTCCCTTATTTCCTTATTTGGCAAAGAAATCTACATCGAAACAGTGCCAAACAGTGTCAAAACAGTGTTTAAACAATGTACTCTACAGTAAAATCAATTTATTTCCTTAATCCTTGAGAAGTCAAACTTTGACTTTTTATGTGAAAAGGAGGGGAGTAAATTTTCTTTACACTTCTTTGGATATAATTTATTTGTTCTTAAGACAAGTTATCCCTCATAAAAAGGAACAATCAATTGCATCAATGAGGTTGAATATGTAAATGAAAGAAATGTCCTCCTTGATAAGTTTTCCCTCTACTAATGAAGTCATACCAAATAAAGTGTTGATATTTTTTTATTTTCTAATTTGTTTTCCTTTCCTCAGGGGAAGGTGACGATCACTGCAAAATCTGGTAAGTTAGAAATTCCAGATGGGGATGTCATTGCAGACAAGGTAATTTACTGTTTCTGGCATTGAATGAGCTTTTTAGTCTGCTAGAATTTTGTCTGTGCAAATTTAAGTCATATATTTCTACCAAACTGACTTAAATGATTTTGGAGGCCAAATCAGAGAATACTAGAATAAAGTAACGTATCTCTACTTACTTTTTGGCAAAAAGTAAAGAAAACGTTACTCTTGCCCTTATTTCCATATTATCATTATATTTATTTATTTTATTACATTAAGATTTGGTCCCATTAATAGTTTTTCGAGAGTTCGTTTGGTGACTTTGGTCCCATTAATCTAATTAAGCCATTTTATAACATTGGTAATATTGGCCTAGTTTTTACCTTTAGCAATTAAATATATATCTCTAATTGGTGCTTGGCTTTTTCCTCAATCATGTTGCAGGAAGTCTAATGAGTTGCTTCTCTTCATGGAAAAGGAGCATATCAAGACACACCATGTGTGCTTTTAGATTTCTCCACCTGCGTCGCTTGTAAATTTTGATATTATTCTGTTATAAAAATAAATGGACCAATTTTGTAATAATATATATTAAGAGCATTAGATATGTTCTTGTAGTTGACCTACTGCACTGCTCTTCACTCTTCAAAGTTTCAATGGACATGCAATGTTGCCAATTAACAATGCAAAGCTGAAATAGTTTTGTGCTATGTTTTTTATAAAAGCTTTGGTCTGTTTTTTGTGAATCATTGCAATTTGGTCTTTAAGGCCCATTTGGTATTCTAGTATAAGCTCATTTAGCTGAAAAGGTTAAAACATGTTGAATCGTTGAAAGCATTAATGAAATAAAGTTAATAAACAAAGTATACAAAAAGGTCCCCACTCCCCACTAACAAAGTAACAATAATGGAATGTTTCAAAATAGGAGTATTGTGATATAATGGGTTCCATGTGGCAGTGATCTGGCTTAGGGGTGGACCAGGCCCGTCCGGTTCCGGGTTGGGCCCGGCCGGGCTTGGATTTTGGGAATGCAGCCCGGGACCGGCCCGGGTGTAGACCGTACCGGTTCGAGCCGGTCTACCCGCCTGGGTAACGGGCCGGGCCAGGTACGGGTATTTTTTTTATATTTATGTTTACAAATTAATTCTAACAAGTGCTACATATAAAAAACTTAAAGTATATTTATTTGAAATATGAACTACAATTGAGAATTGAGAAAAAAAAATTAAAACATGAAATACATTTTTTCATAAATAATAATCAATCGGAATTTACGGCACCGTCTGTTGTTGTTTCCTCCATAAAGTGTTGGGTGGGGTGATGCTAAGTTCTTGAGTTCTACGGTGGGTCTTCAACCAATCGTGGTAGCAAACAAGCCCGTCTCAAGAGAGTTTGCACTCAATGTTGTTCTATAATCCGTTAGGACGTTTCTGACCGTACTAAATTCTTGTTCCACGACAACTGTTGAAACTGACATTGATAGCACTTGCTTAGCCATCTTTGATAAAACTGGAAACGTTCTTTCTTTATCCTTCCACCATTTTAGAACGTCAAAATCATCATCTTCTTCAAAGTCAACAGGAAATGCTAGATACAAAGAAAGCTCATCAACTGAGCTTTGTTCAACAACGGGAGTTGATTTACTTTTTCATAAGATTGCCAAATGTAGATTTCAAAATTGATTTTCCTTTAGATGAAGATGTTGGTGTAGGGGGGGGGGGGGTGCGTTGCCATATTTTGCATGAAACTCATTAAATAATTGATAAAATAAATTACTAACCTCATTGTATTCTTGTTTAGGATCTATGGGCTTATCTTCGTACATAGGAAATGGACCAAAAAAAGAAGAAGCATAATAGTAGTCTAAGCATTGTTGCAAAGCACTAAGTTTATAACGAGGTTCAAGAATAAATGCAATATCATAAATATGCGGAATATGTGAATAATATTTTAAAAACTTTTCTTTCATGTAAGACCAAAAATAACTAATGTATGGGGCATCGGAAAATTCACAAAAAGCACCGGCGGGATTAACAACTTCACGAAAAAATTGGTTTGAGGTAGGTGTATAAACATGACTAAAAGTTTCAGTTGCATTATTAAAATATACCAAAACATTCACATTTTTTTCGCATGTGTCGATGTCAGCCAGGTTTATAATATAGTTAGAATATTCTTTTAAAAACCCAAGAAAATGGTCTTTAAATCTAACAAGTACTTTAATTAACTTATAAGCACTATTCCAGCGAATAGACAAATCTTTAGGAAAAACACAATATTTGACACGTCTTTCCTTCAAATAATTTTGTCATTGTAATTTAAGTTGACCACTAGCTCAAATAAGTCTAATTTCCACCTTCACTATCTCCATAACATTTCCTAACGCGGTTAGCCCGTCTTTCACACATAAATTGAGAATATGACATGCACATCGCAGATGAAAAAACCTACCCATCAAAGTAGAAGAACCACACAATTCACGCAATCTAGGTATAGCAGCAATATTATTACTAGCATTATCAAAACTCATAGCAAACACCTTATTAATCAAAATATACTCAATTCAAATACGCTCAATGAGAATATAAATATTATGAGCGGTGTGTCGATCATTAAATTCACGAAAAGCAAGAACATTATTGGGTTAATGGCCCAATTAGAGGATCGGCCCATATAACCCCTCCATGGATGAACGTCCAAGCCCAATGGGTCTATGTGGGTAGAGATGAACGGTTGTGGCACAGCTCGGCACCCAGGGCTGGTAACACCGATCTCTAAGGCCACTCTTGGGCACCTGGGCAAATCGCCAGCATCCTCCTGATCGGCCCAGAAAATGCCCGGCTGCTCGATTGAATTATTGCTTGGTGCCTAGCCGCCTTGTGCTTCACCATCGATGCTCGGTAAAGCGGAGAGCGTCGCCCAGTCTCACTGTCATTCGTTCTGTAAGGATCCAATATGCCAACCGGTGGAGAGGGATGCCTTGAGCTTGGCGACTCTGAAGGGAGGAAGCTTGTGGGTGACGACGATCATCCCAAGGAAGGTGCCGCTCAGCTGAAGCAACTTAATGTCTAGAGAGCATTAACATGGGCCAACAGTATTGGGCTTTGAAATTGCGCAGAGCTAAGTACCTATTCTTAGACTTTTACTTAAATTAATTTCAAATAGCATCATTGTTATTATTTTTAATACGTCATCATTAATTATAAGGGGCTACAAATGTTCCCCAATTAAATAATGTCGAGCGAAGCTCGAGGATGAGCTTCCACCATCATTTTAATTTAATGACTGGGTGACTGGCCGAGCCGAGGGTCATTGTACCCTTAGGCCGACCGTCATGCCCGGAAGAGCCCCGGGCCGACAAACCAAAAAAAAAAGGTGTACACATATACATGTTGTCTGGCCATTTGGCTGCATTACTATGTTTACTGTGCAGATAAAGATCATAATCGGGACAACCGATAAGAGATGATGCTTCCAATGAATCTTGGTGAGAAGTGCCATAGTGGAGATGAGCTTCTCCACCCCAGAGGCTGAGGGCCCGGAGACGAGCTTCTCCATCCTGGAGGCCAAAGGCCCGAAGACGAGCTTCTCCACCACAAAGGATGAGGGCCTGGAGACGAGCATCTTCCACCTGGAGGCCGAGGGCTTGGAGAAGACCTTCACGGCCAAGGGTCGTGGACGATCATCTCCACCCCAGCGGCCAAGGGCTTGGAGACGAACATCTTTCATGCAAAGGCCAGGGGCTTGGAGAAGACCTTCACGGCCAAGGGCCGTGGATGATCATCTCCACCCCAGAGGCCAAGGTCTTGGAGACGAGCATCTTCCACGCGTAGGCCGAGGGCCTCAAGATGACCATTCACAGCTAAGAGCCTGGGGACGAGCATCTTCCACTCCGGAGGCCGAGGGCCGTGAGACGATCATCCCCACCTCAGAGGCAGGAATTTTTACCTACATAAGACGATCTTCCACCCAGTGGCCAAGGGACTGGGGACGAGCATCCACACCCTAGAGGCCGAGGGCCGGAGACGACCATCTATCATCCAGAGGCCAAAGCCCGGGGATGAACATCTTTCATCCCGGAGGCCGAGGGTCGGAGAAAATCATCTATCATCCAGTGACCAAGGCCCGGGGGCGAGCATCTTTCACGCCGGTGGCCAAGGCCCGAGGACGAACATCTTTCAAATCGGAGGCCGAGAGCCGAGAGACGAGCTTCACGACCGACCATGGACGAGGATGACTCAAGATCGTTTGGGGGCTCCGGATTCGGTCGTTGACCATGGACAAGGATGACTCAAGAAAAGTTCATGGACTACAGATCCTGCAGAATCAAGTGGGTCAGCTCTCAAAGGCTCAATCTGAGAGGCCTAATGGATTCCTCCTTAGCAACACTAAGAATAATCCAGGAGAGCATGTTCACGCGATCACGCGATCACGCTGAGGAACGGAAGAGATTTTGAGCCAGTTGCACAAACAAAGAAGCCTGTAGCAGTTGAAACCACAGAAGCTGTCCCGGAGGAGAAGAAGGAACAAGAATAGAAGAGAGAGGTGGACACAGTCCCAAATTAAACCAGCCTGTTCCGGTCAAAGCTTACTGCCCACCTCTCCCCTTTCCGGCACGCTTGAAGAGAAAGAATGATAACGATCAGTTTGATAAGTTTTTGAACTTAATTAAACAAGTTCAAATTAACTTACCATTCATGGATGCACTATCATAAATGTTAAAGTATGCCATGTTCATGAAAGAACTTCTAGTAAACAAGAGGAGGTTGGAGGAACCAACAACAATGATGTTTAATGAGTGCTCGGCAGTGGTGCTCAAAGATGTGCCCAAAAAGCTCAAAGATCCCTGTAAGTTTAATATCCCTTTTTACATAGGAGTTTTGAGTTTTGATAAGGCTTTGGATGATTTAGGTTCAAGCATTAATTTAATGCCTTATTCCTTGTATGAAAAGCTTTCACTAGGTCCACTTAAATCAACACATATGTGCATACATCTGGTTGACCGTTTAGTCAAATGTCCCCAGAGAATTGCTGAAGACGTGTTGGTTAAAGTGGAAAAATTTATAATTCATGTTGTCTTGGATATGTCCCAAGATCTTGAAGTGCCCTTAATATTGGAAGGCCTTTTATGGCCACTGCTTGAGCCCTCATAGATGTTGGGGAAGGGAAGTTAGTGTTGAGAGATGGAGACGAGAGTGCCACTTTTTGCATGTCCAAAATAACAAAATAACCAAGCCAGGCCAGATATGAGTGTTATGTTTTAGATGTCATGGATCCATTAGGGGAGGAGGAAATGTATTTTCTGCCTTTTAAGGAATCTTTATTTGACCCCTTTTTAGACAAAGGTCCCGACAAAGGCTTGCACCATCTACGGGCATTTGTTGAGTGGAGCATTTGGTTTCATGAATTCAAAGTTTGGCACCATCTAAGGGCGTTTGTTGAGGGGAGGGTTGATGTGTGGAGAAGTAGAGAACTAGTTTTCTGAGTAGGAGTATTTTTAATTGAGATATTAAGGAGGGTTGTTGCGTTGGGCAAACGACATTAAAAATAGCGCTTCTTGGGAAGCAACCCAAGCTTTTTTCCCGCACTTTTGTTTTCTTTTGCTCTCAGAAAGCCCTCAAAATCACAAAAAATATAGGGGCTTCATGCGTATTTGTTTTGTGTTGTGTTTTTGCAGCTCTAAGATTCTCCCAAAAGATGATGTGTTGATGATTTCATTGACTCATTGTGTTTCGAGGCCATACAAAGCCCTAAGGAAGTTTCCACGACT